ATAAGTGCTTGGTCTCTTGTGATATTTTTGCCGTGGTTTATTTTTACATTATGGTGGTGCAGGAAACTCAGAATATGTAGTCGTTTTCTTTTCCTTCTAGAATGTGTTGTTTTACTAGGTGCAGAGAAAATCTGTCCAGGGAAATTGAGTACATGAAGTTTTCTTTATAGCATTTCTAGACTTCTGCTTGGTATATTTATTGTATGGTCCTCAGTCCAAACTTGCATGAATAGATAAAAAGTTTATAGAAGCCGAAGTTAGGAGAATGGTGCAGCATTTTCCCTTAACTGTTTCCAAAAATGAAAACCTGGCCTATCAACCATCATTAGATCACTGCTATTTTTGCTGTATTTACAAGCGATATAGATACTATATAGTAACTTCCATTTTAATTTAAATTGCCTGAGCACAGTGGTTCACCTGAGCCATTTGATACGACATTTCAAAACCTTACCTCCATAAATCACTTTATTGCAAGAGCAACAGTGGCACATGGTTAAGTGCCACATAAAAAATATTTCAATTTTGCCTGTATGACTATTAAGGGGGAAAAAAAATCAAATTCTATAGATGATTTTTAGGAGGCTTAGTGGAGAATGTGTGTGATTAATTGCAAATCTCCATTTAGGACCACTTTTATGGGCACTTCTTCTTGTCAAGTAATGTTGCATTTGAAAGGAATCCAGATGCACAATGAATCTCTTAAAGATACCTGATAATACTGCTTTAGCACAGGATGTTCTTTGCTGTTTCTCCTTCACAGTGTCTCACATGTATTTATATCTTTAGGACTTAATTATAAGAGAGAAGCCTGAATACAGTTTTAAAAAGTGGTATTTTTGTTTGTGTGTTTGTTGTGGATGTTTTTAAATTTTTTTCTTTTTTTTTTCTTTTCACACTGTGAAGAGGAAACATTCAACCACTACAAGTTGGAATTTAAAACAGTGGAATTCTTAATTATAAAATTTTCACAGATGTAAAATGCTATTGATTATTATTGATAATAGTATGTGCATTACCTAGATGCTTAGCCATTCCCAAATAGTTTGTGATGTTCTTCTTAAAAATGAAAATTAGATGTGCAGTATTCCAGCAGTGTAGAATATTTCCACACTGATTTTATTTCCATTTTAAGGTATAAATGCTGAAGTCTGTTTAGATGCAGGGGAAATAATTGTATTAGGGCAAAAATTCATTTCTCTTAAAGCTCTTAGTCCCCTGCCTGCACCCTACCTTGTCAAAACCTGTAGTAAGTCTGTTTTATTTACTCTAAAAGTAGTTGTAAGGATTTAGCAGCACACATTCTTTATGCTTATGTTATTTATTTTTTTTTATTTGAATACTTAGATTAAGATGAATTCTGGAGAAGAAAAAATAAACTTTCTCTAGTAGTTATAATTGAGGGGGAAAAAAGAATGGCATCAGAAGCATATGAAGATAGGGAAGCCTTATCATGGGCTGTGGTTACTCAGAGCAGTTTTGCCTTCCCACACAAAGAACAGATTGTGGTTTAACTCTTTCCATGGCCTAGTTTTATGTGCCAGTACAATATCAGAATTGTTCACATCTCTGCTGGAAAGTACTAATCAGTTTAATTATTGCCTTTGTGGCTTTTTGTCAAGCATCATACTGTACTGCAATGGTTTATGTCCTGAATTACCTTCTTACATTGTCTCCCTCTTTTTTTTTTTTTCCTTCCCTCCCCCCCTCCCGCCCTTCCCCCCTCTGTGATGGTAATATGACCGTAGGTAAACTGCTTGCAACTTCTCTGTTTGATTTGAGGACTGTTAGGTAAGAGAGGTAACTAGATCTAGTGGGGTTTTTTATCATTCAGGAAATTTTTGAAGTTTGTTTGAAATTTGAAGATTGAAATACTAAATTCTTGGCCTGAAGCTTCTACAATGGCAGTTTGAACTCTGTATAATTAAGACCATTAGTTATACTTCCATCATTTTTACCTAATGGAGTTAATCAGCCTATTGATTAAACATAATTCATTCCTTGTCTAGCAGCCCAGCTAAAATATTAGTTTGTTAATTGTATTATTGAATGTAATTGTATAAAAAAGGTTCAATTTTAGTTTGATTGCAATGTGCCACTCATTATGATGACTAGTCTGCATGGTATTTAAAACTAAATATGCCTGCACACAGGAAGAAAGAGACTTCCCTTAAAGTCTCCCTTCCAAACCAAAATACGGTGATGTTTGATAACCGTATCGCGCTGTTATAAACAGCGGATTTGCTCACGGAAAAGAGGCATTCGTTTTTGGGAAGTCCTATTTAGATGTTAACGTGGATGTGTAGGATGGTACTCTAAGCAGACAAAACGAATTAATTTAATTGCTATAGGATGTACTTGTAGACAACAACTAAGCATTATCTCCTTAATGCAATCCATGTCGCTGTTAGGCTGAAGATAAGAACTTGCAGGTGAAGCCAGATGACGGGCATATTTCGGAACTGCAAATAAATTGCGTAGATTTCATGAAAGCAGAATTTGACCAGTGGTGCACTCGTAATGTCACTCTGCCACAGCATGCAGAAACACAAAGAATGCAAAGTTAGTGCCAAGTTGCCATTTTTCATTGTACACCTCAGATTGATTTTTAAGGGGTTTAGAATAATTGCCACACTCATGTGATCAGTTAACAAATTAACTGATTCTGTGGGGCTTCAAAACCCACAGTGGAGCTGCCGAAAGAGCATAAATGTTATTTTTGTTCTCAACTTCATAAACTTTCATTTTACAGAGTTTGGGGGTGGTGGGAGGGAAGCCTGAAGAGCTGAAAGTACAGAAGGTTCTGTTCAGGATTTGTGTAAGACACGCTGTGTCTTTTGCCCACTTCCCTTACTGTATTCTGGTTTCTCTAGTTACCACCACTGGAATGGTGCTGTTTTAGTGCTGGAATGTTGGACGTTTGATAAGAAAATGGATCAAGTTTAATGGCGCATGCTCTTTGTGCCACCAGCAGTCTCTTGCTGAGAGCATGCTCCAAAAGCGGGAACTGTGTGGCATTACACCGAGCATGTATATGCTTTGTGTTTCTGTGCCACAGAGAAGAGAAATGAACTGTGGCACTCGCCTCAGCCTTCTGAATGTTTCTGCTCAGATATTTTAAAACTGTGTAGTGTTCTCTGTGCAATGGTACTTGCCTTGGTGTTAGCTGTTCACTCAGTTATTTAAATGTTAGATAGAAAACATCTTGATAGCATCTCTTTAAATGCTGTTTTCTCTGCAGCTTTGCGGGATGAAGTGAGGGGAGGCATACAAAACAAAATCTTCACTTTTTTTCAAAGAGTGAAATATGGGGAAAATGCTCTTCTTTTTTTGTCTTTGTCAAAAAGCAGTACTTCTTGTCTGCTGACAGAAATAGTAATTGCATGAAAGGTGTCTGGCAGAAATTTGTGTAAATTTTAAGTGTTTATTCTTTTCGTCTTGGATTTCACTTTAAGGTTTTCAGAAACCTTTCTCGATACTGCTTTCATTATGGGAACTTACTGACTTTGAGTTTTCTTCTCTTTTTTTTTTTCTTCTTTTTTTTCTTTTTTTTTTTTTTTTTTTTTTCCCTCCACTTCTTTCCACAGGATGAATTTCACCCGTTCATTGAGGCACTTCTTCCACATGTCCGTGCAATTGCCTATACTTGGTTCAACCTTCAGGCTCGAAAACGCAAGTACTTTAAAAAACATGAGAAACGAATGTCAAAGGATGAGGAAAGAGCAGTCAAGGATGAGCTACTTAGTGAGAAGCCTGAAATTAAACAGAAGTGGGCATCCAGGCTCCTGGCCAAGCTGCGCAAAGATATTCGCCAAGAGTTCCGGGAGGATTTTGTGCTCACGGTGACTGGGAAGAAGCACCCATGCTGTGTGTTGTCCAATCCTGACCAGAAGGGTAAGATTAGGAGAATCGACTGCCTGCGACAGGCTGACAAAGTCTGGCGTCTGGATCTAGTCATGGTGATCCTGTTCAAAGGCATCCCCTTGGAAAGTACGGATGGAGAGCGGCTCATGAAATCCCCACATTGCACAAATCCAGCACTTTGCGTCCAGCCACATCACATAACAGTATCAGTCAAGGAGCTTGATTTGTTTTTGGCATACTACGTGCAGGAGCAAGGTAGGAAGCAGACTGTTGTGTTTCTATGTTAGTATGTCAAACTCTGATTTCAAGTAGCCCTGTTTCCCCTATGGGCTGGCTTCCAGTGAATCATTATTCCAAGGTCTGTAGATGTAAAGTGGGTACATATCCATATGTAAATCAGCATGTATGCGCATCTGCTTACATACAGACACATTCCTACAGACCTGTGTAAATGACGTGTGTCTTGATGTATGTGCCTTGTTCCCTTTCAAGAGAGAGTGGGACACATCAAGGTAGTTCTTTAGTTCCACTGAAGTTGCCTTTTTTTTTTTTTTTCTCTGGTGTGTCAGAAAGGGGCAATAAATTGTGTAGCTTTTCCAGTCGTCACTTCAGAAAACATTCTTGTTTTTCAAGTGTTTTTAGGGGTTTTTTTTAAGTTCCTCCGGTACTCTTAGTAACGGATGCAGGTATGTGCAATTGCACAATCACAATAAATACCACAAATATTTATTATTGTCTTTGTAGTTACAAATAATTGAGAATTCACCCCTGATGAACCTGCTATCACTTTGAAGAGCAATTGTACACTTTGCTACATTTATAAAATAAAACATGGAAAAGCTGTAGCACAGGAATACTGCTTTTCAAATATCATATGTAGTCAGATGTACAGCATACAGTACTTAACTGTTTATTCATATTTTATATCACTAGCTCATCTTATCTATCTGAACTTTAGAACAAAGATCTAGGTTGTAATATTTCAAGATAATTTTCCACAAAAAACATATTTTCACAGCATACTTGTATGCTTAACTTTATTTGGCAGATAATTCAAATGTGGAAAATTGCATGAAAAGTATGGAAGAGCTTCTGAAACTTAGTTTTACAGAATGAAGATAACAACAGAGCTTTTGATAATAATGTATCAGGGAAAAAAATTGTGAGTCACAGTGCATATTCATGTAACAATACTTGTAGGCGATTCCCTGAAATTGTAAATGGCTTTAAGTAGACAAGGGTTGGGTTTTTTTTTCCTGATAGTAAGCCATCTGAAATGCCTTTTCCCTGTGAGGCGTCATTTTGTTTTTTTCTGGTGATTATAGCAGCCTCTAGATGTCTTTGTATTGCTGATTGATCTGCAGTAATAAAGCATTTCTATTTTAGCTGCAAAGCTTGACTTGGGAAAGTTTGGCCACAGATGGTGAGCCATGTCACAGCTTGGCCTGGTAGTAGGCAGGAACGGCCTGCAGAAGGGCAGATGGCAGGCTGTTATCTGATGCCTGATATGTAACCGTGGCATTTAATGGAAAAACAAACGGAATGGGTTTTGTTAGTATAAAAAGGGGAAAATGCTGCTCTTCACTTGGTGTGTACTCATTCTTTAAAAGATACACAACACAACGTTTTTCTTTTCAGTGAATCCATCTCATATACTCATTCAAGTGGAGCAGTAAGTTTATGTGAATGTATAAATAGGGTTCCATTTTTTGAGTTGTTCGTAATGAAAAAATATTGTTTTGTTTTCATTTTTCCCTACTTGTAATTTTCTCTCCACAGCAGTAGACGACACTTATGTATTTCATACTGATGGTCGATGCAGAGTCCTGGTAAATCTCATCCCCAATAACACAGGGAGAATTTATTTGATAGTATTAAATGAAGTAGCTTAATTACAAATAATTTGAACTTTTAAACGAATCTTGTGAAGAAAAATTCAAATTATATTTTGAGTGCATGTATTGCAAGACATAGCTTACTGATTAATTCTAATAGATTTACCTGTCTTTAAAAGTCAAACTACAAAGTGAGGCAAAATAGTTTAAGTAGCTCTTGGGCCAAAGCAGCTAGGGTCAGAGTACTCTTACATGCTGTCGACTTTTAAGTTGCTGGAAGCCAGTAACTTGGAAGTAGGAGAAGGAATTGCAGGGTATAGCTGATTTTATTGACTTAAATGGATTAAGATTATGAGTTTATTTAGAACACTTGTCTAATCAGAAATGAGTAAGATAAGCATGCTGTAACATTAGAACTTTAAAAGTTACACGATGCTACTTTGAGAATATACTGGAAGATGAAGCTGGCAAATTTCTGTACCACGTCACCCTTAGTAGACCCTTTTGTTTATTGTCTACTGCATGTATTTTGTATCTGTCTTGCTGCTTCACAGTAATTCTTCCATTAACATGTTGTCTCTCTTCTTGAAGAAGTAATATTAAGTTATCTTTGTAAGTTTTTTCGTTTTGTCCAGTTTTGATTCTCTGTCTTCATTGAAAGCAGGTTAATTGTGGTACTTTGTAGTGCCCTTGATTAAAAGCACCAGGCTTTGCAAAAGATAAGCATGAAGTCCACCAAAATGCTGGATTATACACACACTGTGTTGTTTTTTACTGCTCTTTTAGAATATCTAAACCCGCCTAATAGTATAATGTATAAACTAAGAGGAGACATGGAAACAATTAAATCGCTGAATGAAATATGAAGAAGGAATTAGCACATAAAATTAATAAAAGGGCCAAGTAGTTTGTTGTTTTGTTGCTTTAAAAACAGATTAGGGGGAAAAAAGAGGAGGAAAGATAGTTCGAGTGCCAGTGATGGTTGCCAGTGGCACCAGGATTGGCATCAGACCTTCTTTGTTTAGCCTAGGATGCCTGTGATTTGTTGGTTGGCATCCGCATTGCAGTGCAGAGTAATGTTACAATATATTGACAATTTCCAGATCTAGAAGTGTCAATAATCCTTTCAGTTCTTAATAAAAAGAGCTTCTACTTCCATGCCTGCCTTGAAAGAGGAAATAAGGAGTGACCTATAAAGTTCTGTCATTGACCAACTTCATCTGGTTCTATTTTTCACTCATCTCCCTCAGAATTCAGCATCTTTTTTTTTCCTTCATTTTTCTACTATCCTCTTGTGCTTTAGGATCTAAAAAAAACCAAACAACACAAAAAAACAACCAAACAAGGAGTTTGACATAGGTTGCAATGCTGCTCCTTTGACTGAAGTGGAGGAAGAAGATGGGAAGTATACACTGTGATCAATGTTTGACATCAAAATAATTCTTAATCATAAAACACTTCTGTGAGTGTCTGCTTATTGTGTATATCAGGTCCAACCCCCGCCCCCTGAGTTTTTAAAAAGCCAAAACCTTGAAAATGGAATGCGCATTGTTTCTATTGACAGAACTGCCTTTTTGGTTTGTTTGGTGGGGCTTTTTTTTTGTGTTTTGTTTTGTTTGTTTGTGTGTTGTGGTTTTTTTTGGGGGGGTGTTTTTTTTTTTTTTTGTCCTTTTTTTTTTTTTTTTTTTTTTTTGTTTGTTTGTTTGTCAGGCATCAGAGAGTGTCTTACTTGGTATGAAATGTATCTCAGTCCATAAAATCATTTGATGGCATTTGATTCAGAGCAGTGCTTATGCTGTGTTCCCGTTGCTAGAAGAACCGCCATTTTGTTTGTTGAGTGCCAGGAAAGGGGGGGGAAAAAAGGCAGATAAATGTGCTTGATGCCAATAATGGTTGCCAGTGGCACCGAGGTTGGCATCAGACCCTCTTTGTCTAGATGCTGAATGCCTTTGATTCGTTGGTTGGCATCCGCATTGCAGTGGGCACATTGGAAAGTTTTTGACAATCAGTGAATGAAAGCTGCAGTACTTGTTTGCTGCAACAGAACCCAGATAATATAAATCGCTTCTTCTGATAGATGTTTTACTTACTCTTACAATGGCTAATTAAAAAAAAAACACAAACCCAACCAAAAAAAAAAAAAAACAACAAAAAAAAAACATTGCTGCTTTTTCTAAAACATATCTACAGCAATGTGCCTCATCTGCAGAATTCCTAATCCCCACGTCATCTCTGCCGCTTTTTGCCAAAGAAATAAAATGATGTTAGGTATTTCAGCACATGCCGGGTGATGCATAGTAGACCTTGAGAAACGCTTTGGTACTTTAAAGGACTGAAGCAATAATACATGTAAATGCTAAACGTTTGTTTTTAATGCATGTGCCTCTCCAGAGTACCTTTCTCAGATCAGTCATGTTACTGTTTACACTCTGCTTTGTCCTTGGGTAAGAGTGATATAATTGGGGGAGCCAGAACCCCAGCTGTTAATAAACTCTGAAGTTGAGAGAGGGGAGGACCTTTAAACTATCCAAGAAGGAGAGCAAGAAATAGATGCTTATGTCCTTAGTCCGATACTGTTCAGGCAGTCTTTTTATTTTTTAAACCATTAAGATGCTGCTAGATTTCTAGCTGCATTACCTTACCAGAAGATCAGTACAATGACTAACTAATTTCTGTAGGAAGTTTCCTAGATAGTTAGCATTAATACTGCTTTCCGGGTAACTGTTATTATCTCGTTAATTAATAAGAAGGATTAGCAGCTCTACCCAAAGGGCTACACAGAAGGAAGCCTGGTCCACCTGAATCGCCAGACTGAGCTGCCCCCGGGGATGGAGGGGCGGCAAGAAAAAAACACAAGAAAGGAAGAAAAAGGCGAAAAGGGGGTGGGGGGTGGG